AATGGACATGGTTATAACATCAACCCCATCAGCAATGGCATCGTCAAATGCAGCTAACAATGATGCGGCATTGCAACCTGCTGGCTCACAAACTCGGTAGATTGCAATTCTACCTAAAGGCACACCGCCTCTGGCTGTTCCTTTGGCCACACCGTTCACACTCACTCCTTTTACTATGTTTCCGGCCGCAGTTGAAGCTGTGTGTGACCCGTGTGAATCGTTGTCCCTTGCTGACTCTTGCACATAATGTCGTGCCCCAATCACTTTCCTGTACAAGTTAGATTAATTAGGGTTAGTTAACCTTCATATGTTTAAAAATCGTTTCTTGTCCCTCAAGAAAAATTCAAAATGTTGTTTACTTATTGCATGTGAAGTTTTTTCCTCCAGCGCAAACTCCTTTCCATTTTTTTGGTATTGGGCCAATGCCTTCGTCTGAAAAGCTCTTTGATTCAGGCCAGATTCCGCCGTCAATTACACCAACTATTATATTAGTCTCGATGTTAGGGATATGCTTGCTCTTGTCACCAAGTCCCATGAACTCGTAAGATCTTGTCGTGAGAGGCTTATAAACGGTGTTTGGGAAAACTGAAACCACTCCTTCCATGTCTTCACATCACATCACAAATAAAATCATCAACATTGAAATAGGCATAAATATAATAGTGAGTTATCTAAATCTTTTTTTTTTATATATAAGTTTAGATATCTCACCAGCAAGCTTGTCTCTTTCAGATTCAGTGAGTTTGGCTGCAAAACCGTTGAAACTTCTTCCATAGCTTCTGACCAAAGAATCTTCTACGGAACTTCGATCGGAACAAAAAAAAAAGACCAATGAGATCTGACTAAACAACAAGAAACAATGCTGAGAGAGGTTTGAGTGATTATGTCTTAATTAAAACCTTGATTCTATAACTTCTTCAAGGATATTCTGATGGTGGGACATAGGAGAGTAAGAAGCTTTTGCAGGAAGAGCTCCCATGTAAGCAATATATACCTGCATATGATGCGTCAAACAAAATGCTATGACGACAAGGAAGAGGCTAAAACAAAGACAACATAGATAGTACGTTAAATATGGTAACGAGACATATATAACAGCAATGACTTGCCTTTCTATCGTCCTCGATAGCGGTAGGAAGCTGACAAAGGCTCAGGAGAAGAACTGAGGAAAGATAGAGGATCAAGACAAGGGAAGCCATTATGGAGACGTTTATTTGCCAATATGAGTTCTCAACAGGTGAAGTGTAATATGTGTGTGTGTGTGTGTCTGTATTACATCTATTATATTAAAAGAGAAGTCACAACTTCTCTTTATGTGTGATATTTTTAAAAATGGACCATTCCTAGAAAGTAATATTTCATATATTTATCTTAATAACATTTTATTTGATTTAGTTACAATATCTTTTGATATCTTTCTTCTAATTGAAATAAAATAAATATTTTAAAAAGAATTCTAACAAAATCTTTTAGAATCTTTTATAAACATTAAACATATGAATAATAATATATACCAATAATGATGTAAATAAATAAATATATATATATATATACATATTTATAAACGAAATTAAACACCCGCTCGGTTGAGCGGGTCAAAATCTAGTATATGTTAAAACCAAGATCATTATAATTTATACTGGCAAGGAAAATAAATCTTGCAAGATTAGTGGTCTTTTAACACCATTTACAACACACATTTATTTTTATCTTTATATATTTGTTTTTTGAAATAATGTATCTCTACTATAAAGGTGAACTAACAGAATCACTCTATTTTTAGGGAAAAAATATAGAGAAATGTTATTTCTATCTCCAAATATAGAGACAAAATAATAAAATAAAATAAATTAAGAAAGAGACGAAAAGTAAATTTCTTCTATATTTTCTCTAAAAATAAAATAAATTTACTATATAATCATATATTTGAACAAATCCAACTATGTATTAGAGATCTGTATTTTAGATAAAAAAAATATAGAGATAAACATTGGATATGTTATTAACTCCTTTGAGTTTGTTTTTCTATACTTTCAATGTATTAGAGATCTGTATTTTTTTTTTTTTGATCAAATAAGAGATCTGTATTTTAGATAAAAAATATAGAGATAAACGTTGGATATGTTATTAACTCCTTTGAGTTTGTTTTTCTATACTTTCATTCTATGAATGCTTCAAAACTTTATACTATGACATTATTTTTTTCTTTTGTTAATTAATCAATTTAACATTTACAAAAATAAAATAAAATAAAAATGAATCTTGTATTTAAAAGATTATGATATATGGTTATTAATTGCACTAGGATATATTGTCATTAATTTTAGGGTGACTTGGAAAAATTACCAAATATTTGGTCAAATAGAAAATTGACCGTTTTTCACCTTACCTTATTTTGTTGTTTTCCTATATCATCGATAACATTTTGTTTATTTTCTTTTGATAACAAACAAATATCTGAAAGGCTCATTTTTCCAAGTCACCCTACAATTAATAACAATATATTCCAACACAATGGGATAATATCATTTTAGATTTTATTGTAATTAATTTAAGGGTGACTTGAAAAAATTACCCAAAAATTTGGCAAATAGACTATTCACCTTACCATTTTGCCTAGACGGTAGCTGTAGAATTTAGTAGGTAGAAGTTTTTGATGTAATTATATCTAGTGTAACTACAGAAATTAAATGAGAAAAAATAGTAGAAGAAAATTTATTCTGACAACAATTCAGCCATATTTTATTTTCTTAAAATAATAAAGTTTTTATAACCATTTTTTACTATATCTTTAAAAACTATTTAAAACATGATTGATGATTTATATGATTTTATATAAAATTAAAGTTAAAATTAGTCCAACCAATCACTCTCATAATCTATAACATATCATTTAGGAGAAATATCATTTTGTTTATTATTTTTGAGAACAAACAAATATCTCAAAAAAAGTTTTTAATAATATAATGAGATAATATCATTTATCTATTAAAGTTGAAGTATCATTTTGAAATGTCCCTTAACTTTCTAACTTTATTATAATTGTACCATTACCATCAAATTTAATATTAATCTCTTATATATTATTTGAGAAGCACTTTTTTTAATACATAACATTACTTTCATGTGTGATTAACAAAATTATTATTACTTATGTGGCATTTTTACAAACATTCTCAACCTATTTATAAAAATATACATAATTTACTAAAATATGTACATTTCAATGTCTTGGACCTATGTTTTCTTACGATGTGGCACCATGTTATCGATATCACATTTTGTGGAACACTATTAACAATAAATTTGCTACGAAATCATCACTTTCCTTTTTCAGGAATCCGATTACACATACATTGCTAGCTTATACTTTTTTGAAACACTTATATACAAATTAACTGCATTTAACCAAACCGAGTAATAATGTAATGCCTCTGATTGTCCCAATGCCGGCTTACATAGAGGGACAAACGGTGCAACCATCCAGAGTCCGAATCAGTGACCCCCGATCTTACTAATTAAGGGGTCCGATGTTTTTTTTATATATATTTTTATATAGAAAATTTTAAACATTTACAAATTTTAGTTGAATAGGGGCCCTAAAATATTTACATATACATAATTTATTTTCATCACAGTTTTTATAAAGATGTTGATGATAAAAAAAAATTAGAATATATTTAAATTTTTAATAAATATACATATTAAAAGTTTTAATTTTTTTTTGTCGGGAGTCCAAATAAATGTTGAGCCGGCCCTATGTTCCACAAGTAATATCATAGTCTGCTCTTTTAATCTATTAGATTCACCATCCAATCGGCCGATCGATGGCAGATTCATCAATTTGTGAAGGCGTAAAACATTTGTTTACTACCTATGCGGTCATACAAAATAACAGCCAAATGAATTTTTAAAGACTTTTAACATACACTTACACATATCAGAAACTAAAAATAATTTTCCATATCGTGAATCGGACGGACGTAATTAGAGTTAATTGTTACTGATAAACGATCACCGACCATAACTCGGAAGAACAAATTGTACAACAGTTAAAATGGTCTTTGGGCCAGACTGGTTGAAACACAACGATTGTGGATGCGATTTTGGAATTTACGGAACGATAGCGGTTTCTAATATTATTAAGTGATTTGTACTATTGATATAACAGTTTGCAAGTGGTGTGTTTGTGGAATATTTATAAATGACTGATTATGAGATATTACATTGGCGTAATAATAAATTACCAATATTAATACATTATAACATTAGAAAAATATCAAAGCATACTATTATGATAAAATAAATAATTATTAACATAATATAATCAATAACAATATTAGTTTTTTTTATTTAGATGAAATTCATAGTTTCAATTAAATTTGTATTAATGATTTATATTAGAACTTCTAAAAGAATATTTTGTTTCAGTTATATATGTATATATGTTAATGTGTTGTTAAAAAAATACATATATATATATATATATATATATATATATTAATTTTTAAAGATATAGTGGATATTCTTTGTTTAAAGTTTTATGAATTAAATCATGATACTGTTAGTGAACTTAAATTAAAATATAATATATTATAATCTATTTATACTATTTTAATTTTAATTCAAAGTATTTATTTTTTCAACAAAAGGTCAACAATCATTATCAACCGAAATAACTGTATTTACGAGTGGTAACGGATAAATCAGTCAAAATCCTTACTCTCTTCGTTGGTGGTAGGATATCTCCGGGACAAGTATACCGGTTTAGGCAGTTATACCGGGCTTCGAATCTTAGTTTATGGGCCGATAAAATCAAAGATGTTTCATATCTCATGAATAGACTTTGATCACCCTCTCTTGGGCTCATGAACAGTACTAGTATTGGGCTCACTATAGTTTCTTAGCGCAACGCTCGTGTGACGTATCTCCACGAATCAGAGGAGGAAGACTTGGCATTTAAAAAGCTCACTCGAGAAGGAAGTAGACACGGAGGAGGAGCAATGGCGAATACTCAGACTTACGGCTTCCCGCTTTACGCCGCGGACTGGATCCCGGAAGTAACCGTTAGATCGAAAATCGAAAATGATCATAAGAATTCGGAAGATGGCGAAGAGTCTTCGTCGTCGTCGTCGACCTCCCGGAGCTGCATCGTGCTGGCAGGCGGAGGCGGAGATGTGCGAAACGGGATACCTAACGTCGTTTTAATCTGCCGTGTTGATCACGAAACCAATACTCTATTGGAACAACCTGTAAGTGTGAACGTTTTTTTTTTTCTGTTTATACATAGTGAGAGTCTGTAATCAGATCGTGAGGATTTGTAATTTTGGTTTTTTTTTTTTTTTGCAGGTGGGTAGGGTTGTGGTCACTGATCTTCCTTATAGAATGGCTGTTCATCCTCTGGGAAATGGTCTTATTTGCGCATTGCCACAGAGTTGCAAGTATGTAATCTTGTAAAGTTCATTAGGTCATGATTAACCGTTCTTAGAGACAGTTAGCTCATTAGGTATGTAATCTTAGCTTCGGCTAAGAGACGGTTCTTAGTTTTTTTAAAAGCCATCTATTAAATAAGAGATATAAGTGTTGTCTTGTAGCCGAAAAGTGTAAAAAAAAAAATGTCAAATCATGAGTTAAGAACCACGGCTAAGAGAATGAGGTTAATCATGCTCTTAGATTTTGTGGTTTTGAGTAGAGAAGAAATTTGAATGGATGTGTGATGGTTTTACTTGTTGATAATACGCAGACGTTTTGATTGGGAAAGCATTATGAGGCAAAGAAAGGGTGAAGAGTCTGAGGAAGTGATTAACGAGTTAGAAGATGTTGGACAACAGTTAGCTCTTGTGTTTAATAAGGAGGGTTCTGTGCTTGCTGCTGGTGGGGAGGTAAGCTTTTTTAGATTCAATATTTTTTTGTATAACGGAGGAGGAAATTTATAGTGGTCCTTATGCATTTTTGTTTTGATGGCAGAACAGGATGGAACTTTGAGGGTTTTTGAATGGCCTAGTATGGAAACGATACTTAATGAACCCAAGGCTCATTCAGAAGTTAAAAACTTAACTTTCAGGTGTGCTTTCTCTTATCCTATGAGGAAACTTTGCTATCTTCAGAAAGTGGTTAAGACTATTCATGAGAAAGGAATTATCTTTGAGCAATGATTGTAAAACAGATTGTCTGATAGTGATAGTTTTTTTGGGTTTGCAGCGAAAGTGGTAAGTTTCTTGTATCTGTTGGAGGTCCACTTTGTCGGGTTTGGGACGTAAAGGCTTCTACTGCCATTGCTACTCTCTCAAAAGAGAAGGTCAGTGGTTTTTTTTTTTTGCTCTTAGTATATTTTGACTTTGTATACAAAATTCTTAACGTTCTTGTATTTCGAATATTATAATGCAGAACGAGATGTTTGCCTACTGCAGATTCTCGGTAGGCAATGCAGGCGATGAAGTTCTTTACATTGCTGCAATCACTGGTAAACTTACATTCTGACAGCGCAAGAACATATAATTTTAGTTCCCTTATTTTCTCTCTTTGTCGTGGCTAACGAGTAGAATGAATCTGTTATGAGTAGAACGTGGTGGGAGTATTATAACATGGGATACCACATCATGGAAAAGAAGACATTCAAAGCTTTTGAAAAACTACTCTATATCGGCCTTTAATGTCTCACCTGATGGAAAATTTCTTGCATTGTAAGTTTATTTTTTCCGCACTTTTGGGAATTTTGTAATACTAATCCTAGCTTTGGTTGTTGACTATTTTCTTAATGCAGTGGAACGCTCGAAGGAGATGTTTTGATAATTAGTTCAACAAAAATGAAGACTCATCAATTCGTTAAGAAAGCTCATCTAGGTTTGGTCACCGCACTGACTTTCTCCCCTGATTCAAGGTTTTTTCTCTCTCTATTCATTAAAGATCTAGTTAGTTCACTGTATAGCTACTGATTCAATGATCATATGCTTAAAATTCTGAGCAAAGAAATAGATAAGGAAAAAATGAACTCGCATTCAAAAGTTTTGATTTGTGGTTTGGTTTTGCAGGTGCTTAGTGTCAGTATCTTTTGATTCAAGGGCAAAGCTAACTGTCATTGAACAGATGGCTGAAACAGGTAAGATTCGGCGATTTCTCTTCTTAACCTCTCCATCTTATTACCTTAACGAAAACCATATCAAGAAACCAGTCATGAACTGATAAGACTTTGGCTATGAAATTGCAGATGGAATAAACTGGTTGGTGGTATTTTTGTTGTTAGTGTTGCTAGTAGTGCTTTCGTATGATTTCTTGATGGAAAAGGGAATCATTGGTAAAGAATAGCCTCTAATTTGCCCCACGAGATGATACATACGAATGGCTTGAAACCAACATATGCCCTTTTGATTTTTTTTTTTCCCTTTTTGTTTTCAGCCGTAGCTTTTTGCGTTTGTATTATAAGAAAAAAGTAAGGTTTTCTTCTTCACCTTTACGAAACTTGAATGTTTTTATATGATAGAAATGTAAACTAACAAAAAAAAAAAAAAAAAAAAAAA